TCAGGGGATCTCGTAGTCGAGCAGTCTCGACTAGAGCTTTCTTTCTTGTTTTTCTCTTTTTTTTTTTTTTTGCATACAGTTGAACACCTTGGCGGCTCGCATTTGTGATTCAATTTATGAGATTACTTTGGCTGAGATTTGCCGCTGCACCCCATTGGCCTTTTGTAGGATCCAGATAAGAGAACGATATATACGATATACATATGTTAATATGTTAAATGTGGAGGGTTATTATAAAGGAGAATCGCCTTGCTAGTTAGAGCTCTCTTGTTTCTGTGAGGGCATTGAACAGGTGCGGGGCTGTAATCAAAGCTGTTTATGATTATGCTTATGTGTGCAAGAGATTTCTTGGAATGAGATTCTGATTTACAGATGCTTTGAACTTGACTTTTTCAATTTATGTGGCACAAGCATCAAGTGCAGAAATTGCATTTGGCATTTCCAATAAGAACAAATAATTAATTAAAATAAATTTAAAAAAAAACTAAAAAGTGTAGCAACAAAAATCCAAAAAATTGTAGAAAATAAAATCTTCTCACAAATTAAAAATAAAAATGAAAATTTATATGCATTCTATATCAGTTCAGTGGCATCTATAACATAAAACTCTTAAGCAAAAATTGATGGACACCCGGTTTGAAATTGATGTCTTTATTTAAAAATATGATGCCAAAAAAATTTGCATTGTTGAACTCATTTAATTTTTGGCAAATGAGGGGTAGAGCTAAATAAATATCAGTGATATTTATATTTGGGATTATGTCTTACATAAGGTAGTCCAAGATGATATATATAGAGCAATCAACATTTATCTCTTCCTACTTAGCAATTATACTCCGACAAGAGCAACGGAGACGGGAAAGATGCACCAATTATATCTATATTTCCTATAACAAAAATGGGCGTAAATGATTTATGTGTCTTGAGGTTTTTAAGCCAATTTTATGAAAGTTAAAAATAGAGAAAAAATTAAAAAAATATAATATATATATATATGCTTATATATGAGGAAACACAAGAAAGTCAGGACTGCAGCTTTGATGAGACTAGGTTTATCAAATCAACAAAAACTTACTTACATATATTTGAATAATATTAATTATGATTTTCTTGACTAATTAGCCAAATAATGACAATAATAATTGATCATTAGCCAAGTCGTATGTATACATATTTAAGCCAAGATAATTTGCAAAATCAATCAGCCCCCCCATATGAGCTGCCATTATGAGTGGCTTTTATTTATGTTTCTTTTACTACTTGCTATTTACTATTGTTTATGATTATTTATCTATTTATTTTTGTTGCCATTTGCCGCTCATTTGCCAACTGCGAACTGAAATGCTTATGCTTTTCTGATCCACAATAAGACAAATCACCTTTCGATAACCGCTCATTATGCGCGCATTTGTGATCTTTGATCTTTCTTTTTTTCGCCTTTTTTTCTGTCTGCCGCACATTTCGCTGTTACCTCTTTTTTTTTGGACTTCTTTATTTTTATAAATATTTGCCACTTTTCCTATCTATATTATTTAACAACAAATGTGTCTCGGTGTGCGTTTGCTGGGCTGGCTCTACTCTCTAAACATTTGCTCAGCGCATAGACGTAATTGCGAGCATGATTAAGTACTTTTCTGCTCTTAGTCAAATATGTGTGTGTGTGTGTGTGTGTGTGTGAGTGTTGCTCTGTGTACGTGCATTCAGATTCACTTTCAATCTGAATTGATTGAGAATGCTCAAGTCCACAGTTTTGCAGACGTCGCTGCAGCAGCAGAAGCAGCAGCAGCTCTGCAATTCACCTCGTGGTGAAGTCTTCTTCATTCATTCACTCTCTTTGTCACTCATACGATCGCTCGCTCACTCTCTCACTCTGTCTGTTTCTGTTGACTTGGCCAAGCTCTGCTTGGCATCAAGTTTCAGTTATATTACGGCCGCGTTTCAGTTTGGACGCGTTGCGCTCTGCACAATTTGGTATTTTGTTGGTATTTTGCGGGTTTTTCGCATGTGCGGCGCGACAAGTGTGCCAGGATAACGTTTCGAAATACACATACACACACATATATATATATACATACATATATATTTATATATACATATATACACAAACGTGGCCCATGCTGTGCAGTGTAGTTAGTGTAGTGTAATTAGTTAACAAGCAGCCAGCATTATACAACAGGTGCTGCTTAGCGGATTAGCTGACTTGAACTGAACGTTTATCCTGCAAGATGCGCTTGCAACATTTGCCATTGCTGGTGAGTATCGAATGCCCATTGTTGAGGGTATGTGACATATGGGGTATGCTGATTGTGTGTGTGTGTGTGTGTGTGCAAGGAGTAAGCTGCGATCATGTGCATATATTAAGGAGGTTGTTAAAGTTTATGAAATGGATTTATTCTTCGGCTTGGCTTAGTCTCTCTCTCTCTCTCTCTCTCTCTCTCTCTCTCTCTCTCTCTCACACACTCTCTCT